TTTCTAGGGCCAAGGGGTAGTGGACAAGGGGGGGGGGGGGGGGGGGGGGGGGGGGGGGGGGGGGGGGGGGGGGGGGGGGGGGGGGGTGTATTGGGATTGGGGCATGGACTGGTAGCTAGAGAGGTGTCAGTTCACCTCCTGGGCACTGCCGAGGTGCCCTCCCTCTGAAATCTCTCCATTTAATGCATGTATAGGTCCTGTTTGTGCATCTGTGTGTGTATGACAACAGAGTGGAAAAAAATGAATTTCTCCTCAGGCATTAATAAAGTGTATACAATTAAATGTCTCAGATTTTTGTTTATCCAACACCTACCTTTTTTGTGCCTGAGCTTAATAAGGTTATATTACACTACACTTGTTACTGGCCCTATTGTTATTAGTGTAAATAACATTCTTTGTTTGTTAGGGTCAGTTTCTATGAATCAGCTGTGTTGCCACTCTCCAATAGCTTCTATTATAACAAGCATGTTCGAGTTTTTTACCATGAAGATAGATTGCATTTTGCTCTTAGCCACAGCACTAGAGGCTGAACATGTTCAAGAAAATGGCTAGTGTTGGATATATTTTAGAGCTCTTTATCCAAATCTCTGAGAGTTAACAGTACTTTACATCAGAGATGAGAAAGTTCTCTTTCCTCCTGGGACCCTAAACCCGAGTAAACCACAGATAAGAATCTTTATTTTTAAATCTTTAAATTTTTTGGGTCAGTAGGCACTTCTTATACTATGAGCATGGCAGGACTGAAAGAGTAATTACACTTTAGGACTATCTTAATGGATTATGAAAAATAATAGGCTCTTACACGAGAGATAATTAGGATGTATAAGTACCCGAGTTGGCAAGACTGGGCGCAGTTGATTGTTACCTCTGGCGGGAGGCGATTGAAGTTGAAGGGCAAATTATTCCAGAGTGTGAGCAGTAGCTGCAGACTTGCTGGAACCGAGTCCCCACCTCCTCCCCTTTTGTGAAGGTCTTAATTGGTTGATGTGCAGATAAAGGAAGGAGCGACCCGTCTGCACATAAAGATAGACAGTTTCAAAGAGACTTGTTCTGGTCAAATTAAGTTCCCCTCCAATTAAGAGTTTTATCATCAGGTCTCTTAACTGTCTCTCATAAGCTCGTGAACTTGACTAATGATGTCCACCAGGACCTGAACTGCCAACGAGGATGTTAAATGCTACCCCCTGCTGGTATTAGGACTACTGTAAAATGTATGGATGTAAAATGTACTTCAATGTATTGCAGTGGTTCCCAACTCTCCTGGCTTGTCACCCATTAGAATTCATATCTACCCCTTACTGTTTATTCTACATATTACTCTGTACTGCTTTTTGCACCTCTGGTTAAAAGCTGAACTGCATTTCATTGTCTCAGTACTTGTACTCTGTGCAATAGGAATAAAGTTGAATCTAATCCATCTAATCTAATGGCCTGAGCGAGAGTAGTTTAATTAAAGAGTGTTTTTTTTCTATCTCCGATTGTTTAATTTTAAGAGCCCTGAAGAGGAGGACACTATCAGCATTCCTCATGAAAATGATTATATCACAGACAATTTAGAAAATCATAATATTGTGTAGCATAATATTTTTCTCTTATTTCTCTTTAATTATCTGGTACAGCGACTCCCAACATCACTCTGAAGTGTTGTGAAATAAGAATAGGAAGCAAAAAATATATTTATTAAAAAAAAAAAAAAGGTATTTTCATCCAATCTTAAAAACTTTGTGAATTTCTGGACACCATAGCGTCTGCGCCACTGGTTTCCAGACTATAGTATGTGTACCACTGGTGGTACGTGATCTCCCTCTAGTGGTACAACAAGGAATCTCCAAACTATTTTTAAAAATTCAATATATTATTATTAAAATATATAATACTATCAAAGTATATTACTTCATATGAGATGGCTGAAACGTAGTATAAAATAAGTTTTGCCTTTCCTGTAATATTTTGGTTTAGATATCAGCCTGCTATATAAGCCCTGTTTCCACCAGTCCGGTACGGTTCAGTATCATTTCAGTACGCATGTTTTCCATTTCCACTGTGAAAAGTTGTGTATGGTACCAATGGAACCGATTAGTACCCTTTCCATTTTTGCTCACCCCTCTGTTACCTAGCACACAGATCTGGTACTAAAAGGTGGAGTTGTGACGCTGCTGTCCGTTGATTGGTCAATAGCAGACAGTCACTCTGCTCAGGGCTGAGTTGTGGCTGGTTATGTAAGATTATACTATACTTGTAACTATAAAAATACAGGATATTTCGCTGCCTCTCGCAGCAGCTGTAGACTGAGGAAAAAAAAACAAAACTCGATTCACTGGACAGACTGCCGGCAACTTTTAAGGTGGAATGTTAACTTGTGATGTAACTCAATGCACGAGTTAACCATGAATCCATCTGCACACCTTAAATTTCAATGTGACAACTCTGAGCATTCCATTAGTTTTTATTGTGTCTCTTGGATGACATACTTTTAGTCATTAGTTAATCTTCAAGGCTGCGCTCCCAAGAATGGCCCAAATGCACAAAACCCCTATTTTTACATATCCCATCGAGAGCACTGCAGCCTGCAACTTTGTTCTGTGGATGATATACAAGGTGCAGACTTCCATTTATGTCACTGGTGATGAGGAAAAACAGTGAGTGCTGGACGAAGCTGTGAGTGACAATAACACTGCCCACATTTAAGGGTACCGTTTGCAGTGGAAACACTAAATGGACCTAGGGTCTAGGTACTATGTCTGAAGGGTTTCTTTTGGTTCCAAAGATACCATACTAAAAGTGTTTGGTGGAAACGGGGCTATGGTCATGTTCATGAACGTAGCACATGCATACGTCCATGATTAGTTACGAGCTAAACTGATGGTGAGATAGTGCACAGAGGTAAAATGAACAGCTTAAAAACACTGCAACTGTGGCTCCAAGCAAAAACGACTACGAAGAGAAGTGTGGACCTGGAGAATATTTCAAGTGACTAGTGACTTCCTAAAGAGCACCTGTGAAGTCTCCACGGCCCCTGTTGAGGGGCTGGCCCTCACAGTGTACGATAAGTGTGTAGAAGAGTTAAATTGACAGTTCTAGTGCTATCTTGTTCTACAGCGTGGGTAAGCTGACAACAGTTAACAATATATAGTCTTCTAATTTGGAATAAACCTGCCTCCTGCATAAACTGTCCATAGCTAAATAGGTTATATTTTAATATTTTAACGTCAGTCATAGTGGTGGGTGCAGGAGAGCCTGGTATTTCCTGAGGTGGTTGGCAGTGTAAAACTTTGAGAATTCTAAGCCTCTAAAGAGGCAGACATAGCTTTGATTTAAGGGTTCACAAGCCAAAAAGATCAGGAACCACTGATCTAGTGGTCTTTGGATTTTATCAGAAAGGTCACTTGTGGGGATCTGACCCCCCCCCCCCCCCCCCCCCCCCCCCCCCCCCCCCCCCCCCCCCCCCCCCAGTTGGGAACCACTTATCCCCTCTGTACACAGTGCAGTCTAAGTATTTGGAAAGTGACAGATTTCTTGCTGCTTTGGCTCCTTGTTCGGCAGTACATTGGATTTGAAACGAATCAGTGCATGTGAGGCTCCAGTACTGACTTCAACTTCACATTTGAGGAAGCTGACATCAATACTGGGTTAACAATTTTGGATCTTCTCACCCCATATGGATGTAAGCACTACAAATCAAGGCTGGTCGACCCAAATTAAAGCAGGTTTGTGCTGCTTAAAATTGCAATGTATCTTTCTACAAGCAGTGTCCTGGTTACTCTATATAGTCCACTGAACAAACTCAACACTTTCCATTTATCTGCAGTATAAAAGTAGTTTCACTGAAAACTGTTCAGTGACAGGTTTGGATTATCCACAGTAACCAGAAAACTGTTTTTGGAAAGTCATCCTGCTGCTGTGCTTTGAGCACCACATATAAAGTAAAGTAAAACCAAATCTATCTGGAGGGCTAGATACCACAAGGGGTAAGTTTGAAATTTGGGTGTACAATCCTTTTAAGGGGGTTCAAATGCATACTGAGGTAACAGAGATGGACTAGCTGCTCTTTTTGTGAAGTTTCCCCAGTTCTGGAAGCAGTGGGAGAATTACAATGCTACGATTACGACACTGTTTGCCCCGTATGGATGTAAACACCATTAAATTCAAGCTGAAAGTCAGCACATTAACCACAAAGTCATTGAACACTGTAATGTAAGCTCAAATGTGCTGGAGTACAGAGCCAGAACAACAGAAAATGTACTGAAAATGCAACCTATTTCATCATCCCCATTCTCTCTCTTCTGAACATAAACCAGGCAATTTAAGCAGCTGCATTATACACCAAACGACAAAGAGGCAGAGGATTAACCTGAATCTTTTACAGTGAGGCAGAGTAGTGGAGGAGTCTGGATCCTATTGGGAAAGCCTCCATAAGAGCCTGTTAGTCACAGTGAGACTCCACCCTGATGCTCCAGCTCTCTCCTCTCTGGGTAAACACTTTTTTTTTTTTTTTTTTGGTCAAGCAATCCACATGGGATTCTGAAACTACCTCCCTGCAATCCCTGCCAAAAAAACCTCTGATACACCTCTTAATACATGGCAAACAAGCCAGGTCACACAGTGTATCTACTCCACTCCCCGACTCAGAGGAACAGACAAGACTGAGAATGAAGGGCAAGAACAAAAACTAACAAAGAAGCCTCACTTTGCTTTCATTTCACATGATTAGCGAATCAATGCTGTGTAGATTAGCTGTTTATTTCAAGGTCACTGAAGTAAAGTGCAACAATGGGTAAGAATGAAAGAGAAGTGAGGGCCTTGAATCCTTAAAACACAAACGCAGACAATCCCAGACTAATTATATTCCTTACGAGAATATAAGACGTGAAGCTGAAATCAAACAGAGCTGATTTTTGAAGCTTTTGTAATTAATTAATGAGCATGTGTTGGCTGTGAGAGACTGCTTCTTGTAACACATCAATCATCAGCGATGCACAGAATGACACAGTGACAACAAATTAACTCAAGACTTCTCTGTGGTTTTTATGAACTGATATCAAACAAAAAAAAAGTCTTTACAACATTTACACATTTTCACAAGTTCGTCAGCGTTCAGACTTTTATGATTTTATTGAGGTGATGTCAGGAAAGCAAAGGATAATGTCTTTACAGTTGGTTAGTCAGGATATAACCCCAGTCCGTGTGGACAGTCTGTACAGAAGGGTTGCTGATGTTACATCAGAGGCTGTATGTGTCCTCAGGTAACTCTCCCAGGAGTTCATCCAGGTCATCATCTGCAGGACAGACACACACAGATACTGTATGTAAGAACATGAAATGATGTGTAATGCACATTAAATCCACTCCAATTCAACTGATAGAAAAAGAAATTATTACCTGCCTGGATTAGTGTTGAAAAAGTAAAGTTTTCATGTAAATATGTAATCCTAATAGGGCTGTGTATCGGCAAGAAGCTGGCGATACGATCTGTATCATGATACAAGGGTTACAATTCAACATATTGAGATATTGCAATACTGTGGGCAAGGCGATATATTGCGATTTTTTAAAATCTAACTTTTAAATTGTCAATGCTAACAGTGTGCCCTTTATGACTGTTTAATATGCCTGTGTTCTTTGTGTTTATGCTAGCAGTATGTCGTGTCGGAGTGGAAGAGTTTACAACACTGCAATCTGGTGGTCGGAAGTTGAAACACCACAAAATAAATCCTTGCCACCAACCTTTGCTTGTAACCAATTAATTACAAATCAGTAGTGTTTTTGAGAATTGATACAGTATCACAAAACATAATATTATAGTATTTAAGTGTATCATATTTCCTTATACCTTTGACGTCCTTTGCTGTCCTACAGTTTATTGGAACAGCAGACAGTCCAGACAGAAAATTTAGCATTGTGTTAGTTTACGGAGGACACGATGTCAAGCTCAGCTCACATCCTAGCTGCATCAGTTGATCTCAAACAGCCCAATCAACTGATGGAGCAGCTGATTGATGGAAGGGAGTCAGCTGATAGATCACATGACTCCTTTCTATGCAACTGATTGGCAAATCTCATTCAGGGCGCCATGTCTAAACTGCTCTGGCCTGCCTACTGTTGCTGCTTTGCAACCTGCCTCCACCCCAGCACCTCCTTTTCATGCTGTGTCTGACTTTTAGTGTCTGACTTTTATATGTCATCTCTGTTCGTCATTGATGCTGCTCTGTTCTGTTCCCGGGGGGGTCTTTCCTGCTGCTCTCTCTGCCTTAAGGCTTTCCACGTAAGCAGAAGGAAGGGTGGAGAGGTTTGCTCTCTCTGCCTCAGGCTTTCCTCATTTGCACATGGAAGGGCAGAGAGATGTGCTGTCTCTGCCTTATGGCTTTACATGCAGGCACATGGAAGGGCAGAGAGGTGTGCTCTTTCTGCCTTAGGCTTTCCACTTAGACGCATAGAGGAGGCTTTCTGAGTAGGCCCGGGGAAAGGCAGAGAGGCCGCAGAGCAGAGGCATATCGCCACATATAATACTGGGGGGCGGCAGTAGCTCAGTCCATAGGGACTTGGGTTGGGAACAGGAGGGTCGCCTGTTCAAGTCCCCATCCGGACCAAAATATGGAGTGTGGACTGGTAGCTGGAGAGGTGCCAGTTCACCTCCTGGGCACTGCCGAGGTGCACCTGAGCAAGGCACTGAACCCCCCCAACCGCTCTGAGCGCCTGTCATGGGCAGCCCACTCTGACATCTCTCCACTTAGTGCATGTATAGGTCCTGTTTGTGCATGTGTGTGTTCGGACCTGTGTGTAATTGACAAACAGAGTGAAAAAATTGAATTTCCCCTCGGGGATTAATAAAGTATATAAAATTAAATTAAAAAAAATGGAAATAAAGTTTTCTTTGACTAAGTGCTCCTGGCTGAAATAAGGGAAGAGAGGTCCCCGGCTAGAAATGAACTATGTGGGTGAGCCTTAATCATTCATCTGTTTGTTGACAGTTAAATGTTGTTTTGTGTATGGAATAAAAAGCACAGGTGTACAGAATATTTATCTAAAAGATACTCATTGACCTATACAAGTGCTCAGCTTTGAAAATCACTATGAACTGCAATAGAGTTCAGTTACAAGAGCTGTGCACAGTCCATGCAGAGAGCAGAAATGAGAAAAGGGAGCAGCTAAGAGTAGTGTAAAAAAAAAGATTAGTCACTTATTAGCTCAGTTAACTGTTAGGATCAATTTATCAAATGAACAAAAACATTTTTTTTGAAGAAGAAGAAGAAGTCTACACTGATGCTTTCTGCTACCCTGGAAATCCAGAATTCTCGCGAGAGCACAATTTGAATTTGCTCAGCGAGTCACTCTGGCAATCAGTAATGATGCTCATTACCTATGCACATTAAAACCGAGCTGATATAGGCGGGCCAGAGGCGAGCTAAACAGATGACGACAGCGCTGCGACGATGAAGTCCGGAATCAGTCAGTAAACATTGCAAGATGGCTACGGATGAACACCAGTTGTTTGAAATGGCTTTGGCCGCTACAATGAACGAGTTAGACTTGGCTTTTTCTCTAAAAGCGGAACAGAAGACGGCGCTCAAGTCTTTCCTTTGCAAGAAGGACGTTTTGCTGTTTTGCCGACCGGATAAGGCAAAAGTCTAATCTACCAGTTAGCTCCGCTGGTAGCTAAGAGTATACGTCACCTCATGTATTGTTCTGATTGGTCGTAGTGTTATCCAGTTGCGTGCAGTGATATTTTCACATGCATGCTTGGTGCCGCCCCTAGAGTTGGGCCATTTTCATTACTCATAGCCAGACCCTAAATCTTTCTAGATTTGGGTCTGGATTTCCAGGCTAGCTTTCTGCCTGAAAACACACCAAATAATGAAATTATTTGTTGGAAGAAAAAATAAGTGATACCTTTTTCACTATCATTGACTTTGCTGACAGAAATGTGAAAAAAGAAATGCACTGCATCAACACTTACCAAAAACATTTCACACACACACACACACACACACACACACACACACACACACACACACACACACACACACACACACTAATGGCACTGGCCTGACCATTGGGAACAATTTGTGGTTCAGTGTCTTGCCCATGGAAATTTCTACAAGTGCACAAGCCACTGGACATCCTGAGCCAGAGCCACTATTGTAGGCTGTTCAGCTCAGCTCCACATATTCAGGCTTTGGCTTAACTTTAATCAGTGTAACTCACTGACTTTGAGCAAGTTAGTGTTTCATAATAAAATGGAGATAGACAAGTTTTTTGCTTTAAAGATGTAGTTTGTAACTTTTATGTAAAAAACAACTTTTTGTCATATTTCTCTGAAACTTTTGGGGGGGGGGGGATCATATTCCTCAGCCTACTCTGTTGCCAGCAAGTCAGAGCACAGGATTCTCTAATGCAGCTGTCAATCATATCAATTACTGCTCGTAAACTGCTGTCAAACTGTCAAACTACACAGCTCTGATCAAGTATAAAAAGAGATTATGTCACTGCATTGCCATGTCATTTAGTTTTTAATTTATTTATATTTTTATATTTATTTAATTTTAGTGCACTGGTTTAGCTGTAAAAGTTGGTCAGACCCATGGACGGTGCTTGGTACTCCATCGACCGTTTGTATTGTCGTGGTCAGGTCACAAACTCTCATGTTACACCTAAACAGTACACTAAAATATTTCTGAAAATATCTGAGGCAAGAAACAGGCAATGCAGTAACAGTATCTTGATTCATATTTGATCAACGCTGCCTTGTTTGACAGTTTGAATGCAGTTCACGAGCAGTGAATGACAGCTGTGTTAGACACTCCTTAGCTCTGATTGGTTGTTCTTTGTGCGCGGTGGTAGATTCTAGTGAATGCCATTAGAGGCAGAAGGAAGATGAGGAGGGACATGATTGTTTTCATAGACTATCTGTCTCGTGTGTTTCTTTCAGAGTATAGCGACAATTTCAGCAAGTATGACGCAAAGTTATTTTCATAAAAGTTACCAACTGTAGCTTTAACTTATTGTGATAACTAAATGTAATGGCTATAAAATAATGACATGATCAGTGTTTTAATTGGTTCTCTGCAAGCGCTGCTTTCACTGTGCAAGTCTGCCATCTGATACGATCTCCCAGGAAAAACAAGGCTCGATATACGGCATAAAGGAAGAGCGTCAACCATTGTGCAACAGAAACAGGAAAAAGACAGCACTTTTGTTTTTCCTGGAAGCTATCTGTAGCTACCCTCAGTTACCAAAAAGTATTAACGTAAGTTCTCTGCAGTTACTTCCACAGTAGTAGAAATAGCGGACGGTGGAAAACCCGACGTAACTGTGGAAGATCTACCAAGCAAAATAGGAAGAGCCCTGTTGCTAGGCTCCAAAGAAAATGGAAAGCGATCCCTTTGTCTTTGCGACAACAGCGTTAACAATAATACCACTTGGAAACAGTACGGGGAGTGGCAGTTGAAAAGTTGTTTCCACCTACTTTTAATCTGTTTTTTGTTTGCTGCTTTACCAAGTGAATTTCCCTCCATGGGATCTATAAAGTCTTATCTTATTTTTCTGATATGTCTGAGTGGAATTTCTGATTATGATTCATCCTCTGGGGATATTGATTGTCTGCTCAAAATTTAATGGCAGTTCATTTAGCGAAAGTGCCTGGAATATTTGACTCTGGACGAGTATTTGACTGATGGAGCGACATTTAGGTCCCAGGAGCCATTTCACTGTTGTGGCCCAAAAACCTGAGCTTGGCTCGTCTCCGTGTTTTATAATTATTAAATGAATAGTTATGAGTTGGCTGCTGATCAGACTAATCGTGTTATTTAATAAAACAGATTCAGACTCTGCTCCTTTGAATTGTAAACCATCATGAGCATCTTTTTTGGTGGCTTACTAACTGAATAATAAAACAGAAAAAAGCTGATTAATCAAACTGAAAATGGTTAGTCGCAGCTTTCATGCAGAACTATGCAATCAGACGCCTATTTGTTTTGCTGCTGTTAGATTGGGTTTGGGTCAGCGAGGCAAATGTTAATGTCTCGATACGTTGCCAGACGGTGTTGCTGTTTTATTCAGCAAAACTTAATTTTACTGAAGTCTGACACTTGGCAACCCCGGGATGTGACTGGAATTAATCTCTCTCATCACAAGTGTTATTACATATTAGAGGACCCACCTGCAACCCAGCCTGAGTCCTGTGGTGCTGCAGCAGGCTCTTGGGGGCCTCTGCTGGAGTCGGCTCTAGTGTCTCTTCTGTCTTGAGGGTCTTCGCCTCTCTCGGAGCATTTCCCCCCCTCTTGTCCTTCGTCATCGTCCTCGTCAAACACCAGCTGCATCTGAGACACGGGCTCCCTGAGGATGGCGGTGGGAGGCCGAGTGGGTGAAAGCAACATCGGCTCCTGTATAAAAAAAAAAAAAAAAAGAAAAACATTTTAAGGGGACAGCTGACAGGTTGACGGAGCATTTCTGGATGACAGATTTCATATTTGTTGGACTGTGCTATTCTTGTTTTCGGTTGACGGTTGTGGTGCTCACCAGGATGAGCGGGGGAAGCTGAGTGGAGGACAGACTGACTCCATCGGGGGAGTAGATCCTCAGCAGGTTATTAGGTGTCACGTTCAGGTAATGGTTTCGATGGGAGGGGGAAAACACACCCACCTGTCCACAGAGCAAGCCATGAACAGATTTGTCACACCTATACATATATAATAACCAAAACACTAAACTGCAGTTACCATCATTAAAATTTAAAGAGAGGTGAGTCTCACTTGTTTGAGCAGGAGTACAGCTCCGACCTTCAGCTCCTCCACTCGGTCCTCTAGGAGACGCCGATGCACTGTTCCCTGAATCTCCCCTTCAGCCAAAAACATTATGAACACAACAACCAGAAAAATTAACAATGTCATTTATAAACAAAGAATGTTTGCAAGTCCAAGATCTTCTTAACTACGCTCCACTTACTGTTCTCCTCTCATAATACAGGTTAATGGGGGAGAAACATAAAATCGCATTAAAATAAACATTTAAGACTTGCAAAAATAAATAAAGCATTTTATCTAATATTTAAAGACCCTCTCCAGTGAAAATCAAGTTTTAAACCACGTTAAATGTCCATATGATGTTTTTTATATGATACAAGACATATCTGGGACAATCTAAGCAGTAAACACTACGGCTGAGCATTTTCACCTTGAAACTGCAGTGTACAAAAGCAGGGATGACACAAGAAATTACATTTCAGTACCAAATCCATGCTGAAATTCTGAAAACGTGAGGGAGCTTGTTTTTCTCCATTACCATAGGTGCCATAGGTACTGGGGATGCAAGTGTTTTAGCTTGCCGTTAAATGACGGGAGGATGAAGAAGAACACCTATTAGCACAAAAGAACAACAACACATGGAAGATGGAGACAAGTGCAGCTATGGCGACAGCTCCGCCTGGACTCCTCAAAAAGCAAAGTGTTTTTTTTTCTGAGGCCAGCCAATTTTGTCTATTCTCTGCAATGATATCACTGCAAATTGACACCATACTACAGACGCCAGCAGTGTGACAGGGTGCAGAGCGTCTGTTCTACGCTCAGAGCTGCGCGTTTTGCCGTTTTTTCCATTGTAGCCATCCAAGCTCACAATTAAAAGAAGATGTATTTCTGTTGTTGGGGTTAGATTTTGGAATGATGCTGACTTAAATTTATGAATGTGTAACTCATTGTTGATTTTTAAACAAATGGTTGTTAAGGCTTTTTTTGAGAGTTATAAATTGTTATAGTTTTTTTTTCTTTTTTCTTATAAATGATGTTTGATGGGTAGCTTAATTTAGGATTTATGTAGGATAATCAAATATAAGCATTATGCTTCAGCCTATACCTTTTCAGTCATTACCATCATATATTAATTAGCATTTTTTGTGTGTTACCTAGAATGTTTATATTTATGATTATTATTGTTGTTGTTGTGAAAATCTGTGTATGTTTCTATGTTGAATGTGATGATGATGACTGAATAAAACATACAAACAAAACAAACAATGAGTGAGGAGGAGCGGGGCAAACAGCTTACCACAAGGACCAACCATCACATCTTAAATGCACAAGTGCTGGAAGAGAAATATGTTGATGTACAGTATATATTAATATATGCACAAAATGTCACAAACGTACACAGGATAGCATTTAGCTTTCAAGGCGGATAATCAGGGATTAAAATTAAGTATAAATTAAATTAAATGTAAATGTTTTAATAAAAAGAGTGTAAGTTTAGATTTATTGTTTTGTTTTTACCTTGGTAGTGAATAAGGATGGGCATCAATTTTCGATTATCGATGATTGATTGTTAAGGCTTTTTGATCGATCACAAATAATTTTGATCGATAGTCGCAGTGTTTCCCCTACAATGCCTGGCATAGGTCCGGCGAGCCGCCATGCCAACGATACCCCCCGCCCGGCGAGTCGCCATGCCAATGGTACCACCCGCCCGGCGAGTCGCCATGCCAACGAGACCCCCCGCCCGGCGAGTTGCCGTGCCAACGAGACCCTTCCGCCCGGCGAGCACGGCGGTTCGACGGGCCTACGAGACCCCCGCCGGACCTATGCCAGGCAAAAAATCAGAAACAGACAGAGGCTCTCATCGCTCTCCAAAGCCTCAACGGCTTCACTTGAGGCCTCTGAAAACACTACGCCATTGAAAGACGGAGGTTTTGCTGAAAACTGAAGCCTGTAACTCTGGCTGGCAACTGTTGTAAACACCCAGGGGTGAATTGCGCATGCGCGCCATTCTTCCTCTTTGGCCTGGGGGGGTTGAAGCTCAAAACTGGGGCAGCTGCGCTCTCTTGCGGCGACAGTCTGCACTGCACTTTCTTGTTTTCTCTCTTTTGAAATACTCACTTATCAATTAATCGATAATTGATCGTTAATTTTTTTGATGATCGAATAATAAATTTTGATCGTTTGCCCATCCCTAGTAGTGAATCTGATGTCGAGAATTATGGAATGTCGCTGGTATTGGTATAAAGAACTAAATTTCTTGTATCGTGACATGCCTGTAGTGACAGTGTCAAAAGCACAGATTCTGACGTCAAGGGTTTGTGACATCACAAACCTAAGGAACCAATCCCGTCAGCTTTCTGGGTGGAGCTTCCATAAAGCTACGGCAAAACAAGGGGTAACAGTTTACATCAGAGTCCAAAACTAACTTACCAGCCAGGCTGGCTGGTAATGAAATTTTTTACCAGCCAGGCACATATTTTACCAGCCAACCAAATAAAAATTGCTTTTAAGTGTTGTAATTTGCTATCAGTATTATTTAGCATGTCATTTGGGTCTTATATGTGATTCTCAATCAATATTTTAATAGTGTGCACTAATAGTAATAATGTATGCTAAAATATGAATAACTGTTTCAACAGTTAAGTGTAATATTTGGGTCAATAAATTCTGTAGTATTCTTACTACAGTGCAAAAAGAATCTTTCATTAAGGAATTTTACATGAATCATTGACTTCAGTCCCCTTTGGACAGTTGAGACATAAGATTTTAGCTCGACCAGACTGCAACAGCAGGGCCTGCCCTATATAAACATGAATGTCTGACCCATGGTGGACAAAGTATTCAACGACATGACTTGAGTCAAAGTAAAGATACTCTTGGTCAAATATTACTCCAATACAAGTGAAAGTTGTTCAGTCATTTTTTTTACTTAAGTGAAACTGCACCAACTGATTAACATACAAGTAAAGAACAGTCCCTTCATAAGTAAAGAACAGTCCCTAAAGTGCGTTGAGGTTTGTGGATGGTTACCTGCCACAAAGACAGAAATGTGAACGGCTCGTTTCTCCTCTGACACAACACATAGCCTACCTGTGTGCTCGGCTGTTCAGGTACGTTTGGGCAGCGATCACAGCGCACTGAAATTCTCGCGCAAGCCCGTTCACATCAGACGCGCATTTCTCCACGCCGGTCGACAAGCGGTTCTGCTCCCAGCTGTTGTCTCCATCACATTTGGGGCTGTTTTTCCATCATGGATAACTGCCCAGCTTAACACATTCGCTTGCGGCTCGCGCAGAAAATAGACCAGACGCCAAAACGATCACTGCAGGGTGGCTCCGCGGCCGGTTTGGATGACACAATCTGTTAACATGGGCGCCGAAAGGAAACTGGCTTCGCTTCGAGGTTATTCACAGCGCTTCCGCGGGCGGTGTGGCCCTGGCGTTACGTGACCAAAGATCGTCTCTGCCTGAAATACACATTACTCTGCCAGGAAACCAGCCGATACCAGCACCGTTCTACAGTAACAAAAAAATGTATTTTTCGCTGGTAAAAAAATATCTCGCCAGAGTGGCGAGTGGTCTTAAAAATTGACCAGCCAGAGACAAAATCTACTCGTAATTGGCGAGTGGCGAGTGTTAGTTTTGGACCCTGGTTTACATATGTTTTATCCATTGCAGTTTACAAACAGAGGTTTGTGTGTTTAATGAGCGTTGTGGAAGATCATCAGATATATTTGAGCTGCAGGCCATCGGCTTAGGGGTGTGACTAATTTGCATATTCAGAACTCCACGAATATTAAATTCAACAAAAATGTTAGAGTTATATTTAAACCATTTTAAGGCACGAAGGGATTTTTTTCAGAGAGAAAATTTGTGTACTCCGCTGATTTAGCATTGTACTCCTGTAAACTATCACACTCACAAAGTTAGAAAAAAAGGATCAGAATCAATGCAGCAGAACCAGAAAGAGTGTTGCTGCAACTAACATTTTCTTTCATTATCAATTAAATGCACAATGTTTTATCTGTTTATCCATTTCTCCATAAAATATCAGTAAATAGCAAAAAATGTCCACAACTTTCCCAAAAGGACGACTTTACACTGCTTATTCTGTCTAACACTCTAAAACCTAGGGATGGGCAACACAAGCAAAAACACTATTCGAAAATCGTGGCAAGTATTCGACAACACCAAAAAAACTGCCTGCTGGAGACAAAAGCTTTCAGCAGGTTTAGTGGCACATTACTGACAGAACGCTCCCTCGTGGTGTCACAAGCACTTAAAACCCACCCACTGCTGATGCCAATCTACCGCAATTGAATCACTAATAAGCACTTAAGTCCTGTGTTGAGTACAACATCCACTCCTGAGTGTTAATAATCAGCACACCTCGTGTGGCTGCTCTCTGGGGGCCATGGCAACCAGCTAATCTTAAGATGAGGATCAGACAAAAGGCAGCTCAAGATGGAGCAGCAGAAGGAGAACGGGCAAAGGGGAGAGTAGAGAGGCTTCCTGCTGTCAGGGCAGGAAACATGAGTGTATACTGTATATACGTGTGTAATCAAGCATGTTACTGCGGCTGAACTCTGCTCTCGCACCATGAGGAGCTCAGTCAGGCGTGCTCCCAACCACTACTTAATACACTATTCCAGTTGTTTTTTATGCACATTGTTTTACAAATTGATGCATGTTTCTACAACAAGACGGTGTATTTATTTTCTGTGTGTGTGGGTGGGTGTGTCCGATACCTGTTGGATCCTTAAACACAGCCTTGGCATCAGCATGTGTGTAGATGATGCTCTTCAGGACGACAGCCATGTTGGGCACTTTGTTTCTCATCAGCTGTTTCAGTGCAGCCTGCATTGATGACAGAAAAAAAGCAAGATGTCAGCTGGTGAATCAAATAAATTAACTCAAGACTTATTTTGGAAGAACTCAGGTTAGGGTTGCAGACATACCAGCTGCATGGTAGACTTGGGCAGTATCAAGGTATTACAGTACACTGGGGTATTTAGAAATCCCCAAGGTATGATTTTAAACCTGTTAAAAATACAGACACTCCTTTTCCTATTACACAGATACAAAGATGCTGTGTTGAGGTGAGGTAGTGCACGTCACTTGCCACCAGAGGTCAGTCTCTACTGGTGGTACAGGCAACTGACTTGAGAAGGATAGTGACTGTGAGTGGTGGGGATAACGTCACAAGACTATAGGGTGGGGGAAGAAATGATACAGCATAGTATCACGATATTTTTGTGTGCCGATATTGTATCATCACACAATGCCAAGTATTGATTTTATTTTATCATATAAAATAATAATATTACAAATACAAATCAGCTTTTGGTAGGCTACTGGAATAATAAAATCAATTGCTATTCAGCCCACTAGATACATTTCACTGTCGTAGCTGTAGCTAAAGTGAGATGAAAAGACTCACAACTTTATCTTATTAGATAAAACAGATGTTGAAAAAATGTAATAAATCCGATATATTTTATCGCAATACTCAGCATATCGCAACATATTTAAAATCACAATAATATTGTATCGTGACTTAAGTATCGTGATAATATCACATCGTGGATGGTCTGGTGATTCCCACCCCTAAAGGACTAGTGAAAAATAAAAGTCTCCTATAGGGATGTCCTGATCCAGCTTTTTCACTTCCGATCCGATACCAATATTACAGCCTTGAGTTTTGGCCGATACCAATCCAATCCAAGCGCGTATTATACATATTCACTTATTTTGTTGTCAGTCATGTTAGAAAAGGTTTGATCAAGCAATATTACTCTACCAAGAACAACTTAATCGGGTTAGTTAGAATGATCCACAACAGTTAGTATGAGAAACTGACCTGTTTATTGTTAACAGGGTTAAATAAACAAACTTTAAACTTGAACATTAACATTAAATAAAAAATATAGCTGGTTTGCTTTGGCTGCTTTGGCCCCTTAATAAGTAGAAAATAAATCAACACAAGAAATCTTTAAAATGTCTAACATTGAAATTAAAATAGCAGCAAGACTCCACACACTTGTGCTTTGGCCCCCTAATAAATAAAAAATAGATTAACACCACAAGACACTGTTGACATTTAACAAACAACGCAGCCTTTTTCAGTTATTTTTGTAGTGTCAGTGCCAGCCTGGTGCTGCTGTTTCCTGTGTGTCTGCATGCTGGCCTGGTGGATTGATAGTAAGTGCTGGAGCGGATTACTGGAATGGACTGCTTGAATCATCGGAGACATCCCTAGTCTCCTAGCTTATCAATTAAATAAGATAAAATAACAAATCATGAAAATATTGATACATATAACTTTAACTATATGACTACAAAAGCCGTTTTTTTTTGCCACGACTTATTCAGATGCCACTCTGTCACCACCACCTGCACATGATTTCTGCTCAGCCCACGATGTGTCGGTGTACGCCGAGGCAACAAGTGTCATCAGGTCGTTCTGCAGGAATCTACAGCAGGATGCTTATGTTGTATGTATTCATTATTCTGTGTTGTTTTGTTTGTTTTTTGTTTTAATACACAAATATTGTCATATTCCATATACCCTGGTGAAATGTCAGGAGGGTATGAAGGCATGAAAAAATAGATACCAACAGAGCCTACTTCACTGTACTGTGGTAGGAAAAATAGACAGTCATCATACCAGGAACATATGCTTATCTATGATGATAACAATCATAATAATAGTGTAATGCTGTACACAGTAAAACCATGACATTTTCTGAGAAGGTTATCATACCGTGAAAATCTCATACCAATTCAACCCTAACTCAGGTAAGCTTGCATCGATTGCCAGTATTACTGTAGCAGTGTAAACATTTTTAGAGCCGTAATGGTTAATTAACTGATTAATTGAGTGTCAGAAAATAAACTGGCAACAATCAAATGATCTTTTCATTGATTTGTCAAGTTCTAAAATCTAAGGAATTAAGACCTTCTTTGTCATATATGATAGTAAATTTAGTGGTCACAATGATAAAGACACCACTGCAGATAATTTATTCAGGTTTAGGATGTGTTATATTTGTAATTATCACTGCCCTTGATCTAAAAATTAAAAATGCACATATTAAACATCTTATTATTAGAATATTAATCTGCTAATTTCTGTATTTATTAAGATAGAAACTAAGTGATAATAACTGATAACTTTGTCAAAATATGTTGCTCTATTAAACCTCTCATTATCCCAGCCTCCCACCAGGACAACATCTCCAGGTTTGTCAATAAATAAACAGCAGTAAGCATTATTTACTGTTGGGATCATCCTCTCTTTCCGCTGCATTAGATGTAATATGTTGCTGTTCAGTCAACAGACGTGGGGAGGGCTGTGTGTTCATTTGTTTATTCATGCAAACAGGGATTTTTGGGGGAAGCCGAGATTCGTGTAATCAGCTTAACCTGAGTGATCTTAGCCAGCGTCCTGCCAGCGCATGTAAATGAAGCCTGTGTCAACAGCCACGACAGAAACCAACATGTTTCAGCACTCGCAGCGATTGAACACTGGTGGGTTATTCCACAGAGGTCGACACACGAGGAGAGAGGAATAACAGCAGAGTCTCCATTACTGTGATTGATGAGTGATCGTACTGTTTATAATTACAAAACACCTCTGGCGCAGCTCCTCCATTTGTCCTGATTATGCCGATAGACCTCCAGCAGCAACTCTCAGTCTGTTATGATGGAGGATCGATAATAAAACAGCTGCTTGACCTAAATAAAAATGCAACTTATTGCTTGAACTGGTCTGAAATGTGAAATAGTTTCAGGAAGACTTCATGATTGTCGTTTGTTTATAAAGGAATAACAACAGATGAATTATGGGTGTAGGTAATCACCTTTCGGAGCACCATGACCACACTGTAGGAGTGCAGAAAGCATAAAGGGTTCCTCTCATCCAAGCCCATCTCTGCCTTCATCGCTGCCCAGGCGCCGCCGCTGAACTCATCTTCTTCAGTCTGTGAGCCGGAGCCCTGTAAACCGAGTCAAACGGTTTATACACTCAAACACTTATAGTTACTGTGCACGACCCAGCTGGAAAATATCAGGTTTTTATCCTCCCTGCCTCTTTACAGTGCTCAGATGGTCACTGCTGCAATCAGATTGTGTGAAACTTCATTTCACACTGCAGCCTGGAACACTTAAATGTCTGGTGTGGAAGGTACAACATCCACATAAAGCTCCTGATGTACTCCAGATAGAAAACACCCTCGAGTGTTTGGGAAATCAAACCCAACTTCAAGTCATGTCAGAAATATCAAAGCGTGTTGTAATTACTATGTAAAACCCAGAGATTTCTCCAAAGAGCTGTTGTCAACAAGCCTAAACAAAAGTCATGTTGGAAACAATGGAAGTCTTGTCAGCTGCAGACAGGAAAATTATTACTTATTGCTCCTCGGTGCCATATATTGTGTCATTTATTGTTTCTCTTGTCACAATAACTTGCCAAAAATATAAATTCTGTGAACGCACATCCATCCATTTTCTACGCTCGCTTATCCTGTGCAGCGTTACGGAGAGGTGGAGGCATTTCCAGCATGCACTGGGTGAGAGGAAAAGGAGAGGAGACATTTGAAGCCCAATCAACAGCCTCGCCCACCAGTACAAGACAACCAACTAACACAATGGTAATTTGAACAGTACGACGTTGTAGTGAATAAATAAGAGGCCAAATGTAGCAATAATCCACTCTATTCATTTATTTTAATCATTATAAATGAAGACGTGATTCACCCTACAAGTAACGAGATGTAACCCTAACCCTAACCTTAAAGGCATACTTTGATTTTCAACCTGCTCTGTATCATTTGTGGGTAGTTTCTATAAATGAACTGAAGCAAACTTCCCTCCATCTTTCCAGCACCCAGATCACCCTGTTCATCTCGAAGCTCAAATCCCCAACAGGTTCTCACTGGCTCTAGTACTTTTGCTCAAACAACAGATTGTACTTCCACATTTTCACATGCCCGCCACCACATCACAGGCTGTGTTTTAGTCGTTCAACATGCCCTTACTGACTTGACCTCAAGGGAATCCCCACCGCTATCATAAGTGCCGTTCCATTTGTCTGAAAACCTTAAGTGAACTTGGTGAGATCGACCCTTGGAGAGCTGAGACAGCGGGTGAACAGCGATGGTCACTCCAGAGGTCTGTATCACCCACAGTGCATTGCAGTTATGCATTTGATGCAAGAAAATACATCCATGGTTAGGAGGCAGTAATGTACATCAAACTCTGGATAAATAGGGAAATAAATAAAAAAAAAACAATAATCCGCAGAGGGTTAAGTTAGTATTGATTCTAATGATTACAATGAAATGCAGCACAAGAGTATAGCAGTGAACAGAGAGAAAGACACCCGCCCCCCGCCCCTCTCATACACAGGTATGGTGTGTGAGTCATGTAGCTGGTAGGCAATCATGTAGCTGCTCCAGCTGCAGCTGTACCGACTCACAAGAGAGAGCAGTGATGATAAAAACACAAAAATAAATCTCTCTTTTGATTCAGAGAGAGAGAAAACCTTTCAAACTTGAATGCAGGAATTTCCCAGGGGGGCCTGAAGGCAACACTGAGTGTAGTTCAATCTGAAGTTGACTGGCAGCAACTATCAGGAAGAGAAGCTGTGGGAGTTTCTACTTACGTTAGAGCTGAAACAATTAGTTGATTACCTGAGCAACAGAAAAATATTCTTATTATAATTGTCAAGTTTCTTCACCCTGGATATCTGCTGGTTTTCTTGGTGCTCTAAGATAAACAACTAAACATTTGGATTTTGGAGTGTCGATTGTACAAAACAAAACATTTAAAAATGTCAGCTCAAGCTTTGGGAAATTGATTTTACAGAACAAAAACAACTGATCAAAAAAGGGATCACCTTAAGACCATAAAAATCCATTTCATGTTAAAACACATGTTATTGTTTATTGTACATGTCTCTGTCTGTGTTTGTGTTTATTACCTGGCTTGGTGACCGGGCCACAACACCATGAGCTGGAATCTGAGGGACAGAAACCACGATGTCATCCAGGCTCTGACCCTGCGGCTGAGAGAGAGGAATTGAATTATTACTATGACCATGGTGGAAAAACAAACACATAACTGATAACTGTCATTTCATTAGAGCTTAGGTGACAAAACCACAGAGCTGCAGCGTAATTTCTGACCACGAGGGTGTGATTATATGATTTCACAGCTCTGGTGCTTTCATTTTCAAAGGAGGGATATCAACACACTGCAACCAGGCAGATACGAACAGGAATTTCAGATGCAGAGAATCAGCGCTGGATGAGACTAACCTGCTGCGGCAGGAATCCAGCGGGGCCGGGGAAGCGTCGCGTTCTTGGCAGATGAGGCTCGGAGCGAGGCCTCTTTTTAGGAAGCTTATTAGAAGCTGACACCAACTGGACCAGGCGGTTGGTGAGGACTGGTGTGTGTAGGGGATGAGGGCTCAGAGTGGAGGAGCTCACAGAAGGGGTGGAAGAAGGCGCTGGGGAGACTGTCTGAAAGAGGGTGCGGTCCTGAGGGGAGGGTTTAGGAGTTGTAAATGGTCTCTGTGGCTGCTGGGGCCTGTTTAGTGTCCTGGGAATGGGGCTAGGGGCAGCAGAGGACGCAGTAAGACCAGGGAAAACAGTAGGACTCTGTGGAGGGGCTGACAGGAAAGCAGGATGGGGATTTGGAGATAGCAGAAGGGGTGTGGAGGAAATCTGAGGCTGTAAGTTATGACTAGATGAAGCCTGGCGTGCAGTGCTGACGTCCCTCAGGGTCCGATTAGGTTGTGTCTGAATCCCTCCACAGGTCGGGGGTCGCAGCGTTTTGGCTGAAGATGCAAGCGCAACCTCGGGCGCAGGTGGGGCTGGAGCAGGAGGCTGCCCCATCTGGCGGTCACACTCATCCAGATCTGCCAGGTCAACATCCCAATCATCAAAATCATCCTGAGCCGTGCAGGGCTTTGGTGGTCCCTCGGTGTTGGCATGACTCTGTTGTGATGCCAAATTAGGCTGAGAATTATTCAGTGTGGGGGGAAGGGGCTGAGCAGAGGAGGAGGAGGAGGAGGAGGAGGAGGAGGAGGAGAGCTGTCTCAAACCCAGAGCAACAGTTTGTCCAGCAGCCGTGTGCGTGCTGCTTCTTGATGCTGTGCCATTACACAAGATGGCTGATCTCGCTCCAGTTTGCTGAGGGCAATTTTTCTCCGGCTCTCTGTGAGCGGCAGAGGAAGCCCGGAGCGTGCAAGATGACACAGCAGCTGCCACATCGGCTGGTCCAGAGGCTGAGCGGACAGCCCAGTCTGTCCCGAGCAGGTCCTGGGAAACACACACACACACACACACACACACACAGAGCGTGTGAAAGAGGGGGAACAGAAGGAGGGTCATTATTATACAGAGTGGGAGCACTGACAGTTGAGTAAGATCAGGTGTGTTTGAGTCTGCTGGGAGTCACCTCATCATCAAAGTCCTCGCCAATGCTGAACAGGCCATTTAATTTGCACGTCTGTAACAGAGTTAACACATAAAATAAATGTCCTCACGCCATTGTCAGTTTTAAACGTCCAGGTGCTATTTAGCAGATGAAACCCACGAAGCATGTCATGAACTCATGAATTATCTATGGACACTAACGTCTCGCTAGCATACGTTAGCCTGGTTAGCTCAGATTGTTTTTAGTTGGCTGGATTTGTTCACTCACCATCGCAGTCATGAGATATCGCGAGGAAAGCCGTATTTTATCCGTTTGGACACCAAACTTACTGAGACATAGAGTGCCGTTCAGTTACTTCGTGTCCGTGTAATTTGTTGTTTTGTCCCCATATCCTTTAATTTAACAAGCAAACGCTGCTAACCAGCGAGCTACATGAAAACTTTAGGTGGGCTTTGCTGCCATGTTTGCTGTTACTAACCGCGCCGCCACGTTCAAATGCGACGTAATGACGTAGCAGGTACTTACAAAGAGTGTTAACAGAGAGCGAGATGATTTACTCCCACTCGTCCCTATGACTCGTCTGACTCGCCCGCACTCCAAGTATCTTCGTATTTGGTTGATTTTTAGCCGAGATACACCGAGATTTAGTCAGTATATCTTCGGTTCAATCGCTATTTCTTAAACCAGTAAACATATAAGCGACTGCAAAGCTACTTTTGTGTGGGGGTTTCGCCTTTTATCCCACCAAATGGTCAAGTGAATATTGCATCCACTGAAGCTTGTTCAGTTGTCTATCTTGTCTCATAAAAATTGAACGAGGAAGTCGAGAGCCAGAGAGCTCCCTTTCAAAGTAAGAGTTTTGTGTTTTAAAATAAAGTGGGTTGGCTGCAGCAGTCAAGAAGAGCTGAACTACAAAAACATACAAATACAATCGAAATTGTGATCTGAAAAGTGGTGTGGGGTCCTCCCCAAGGTAAACACTGAATTTCCTGCATTCTGCTGAATATCTATGCATAATTTTGTGCCTTTTCTGTATCAATTTATAGTGGAAATCAGGGGCGTAAATATAGACGGTATAGTCAGTGCTGTTGCACTGGTGGCCATGGGATGGAGGGGCCGATTGCCGCCTGGATATACGCCAAAGTGCAAACAAGGACTTATGCTGAATCAAAAATGGTGTGATTTTCTATATATGCCCTCAAAAACGCAAACCCATCTCCACTATGGTTTTCTGTTTCTCTAAAATACTATCAGTCTATAACAAAATTATATGCTCATTCTACAATAACTAAAAAAAATATATATAATTTAACAATAAAAAAACAATTTAGGTAGACTAAGGATGCCTTATTTTCTTTTTATAGATTTTGTCATATACAGATATGTAAATATGATTGCTGGGTATATTTTGATGTTGTCCAAAAAAAAAATATCAATATGATTTACAGTAGCTATTTCGGTGCAAAATCTCTCAAGACTGACAAACTGGGCACATCTTCAAGTGGATATAAGATAAAAGTGCCAATAAGACACACTGTGGGTAAAATATATATACGACTAAAGACTAAACTCAGTGTGTGTATGTGTGTGTGTGTTTGCCTCCTAACTAGTAACTAGGGCGCACTAGGGCCCTTCATAATCGTGTACACTAGGGCGCAACTGCCTTATGCCACTGGGGGAAATGCCTTTAATTTCATCAAAATAAAAGTCCTCTGCTAATTGATGGGAACATGTCCCTTGCATCTCCCCAAACATCTACACCTATAAACAAACAGCCTTAATACTGAGCATATTAGTGAATGTTACACGGTCATATTTCTGCTATTTTGCCCACAACTAATTTTGAATATAATGCCAATGGCCACAAACACTGGAATTATTACAGTACTGCGATTTGTGCATGTATAGTATGTAATGATTCATTAAAATATTCACCATGTATTAATTTGATTAAGAAAGTTAAGTATAATTAAGTATAAGAAAATGGACGCAAACATGTTTTTTGTGATTTTATTGCCATTAATTGGGAAAGACTCCACTAAATACCTGAAATTCAGAATCCTTTGGATTTCTGTCATTTGAATCCACTAAAGAAATTGACAAACATGCTCCTTGGAAACTGTCAAAAGTTAAGGGCAGACATGTACTCGGGATAAATTCAGAGTTCCTATCTCTTTTTAGGGAGGGGAATAAAGCATGGGGAAAAAATTCTGTCAGACAAGGAAACATGCTGACCAATGTCTGCAGTGTAATTCTTGATCCTGCAGGCAGGTCAGTCCAGTACCTGCACTCTAACTACAAAGCCAAGCTGTTGTAACACCTGCAGAATGTGTCTTATTGTCTTGCTGGAATAAGCAGGGACATTCCTGAAAAGACGCTGTCTGGATGGATGGCAGCATATGTCTCTCCACAACCTGTATGTACCTTTAAGCATTCACAGTGCCTTCACAGATGTACAAATTACCCATGATGCCATGGGCACTAACACAGTCCCAGACCATCACAGATGCTTGCTTTGAACTTTGTGCTGCCAACAGTCTGGATGGTCCTTTCCCTCTGTATCCTGGAGGACATAACGTCCATGATTTCCAAAAACAGTTTGAAATGTGGACTCATCAGACAACAGCACACTTTTCCACTTTGTGTCAGTCCATTTCAGATGAGCTCAGGCCCACAGAAGTCAGCAGCATTTCTAGATGTTGCTGATATATGGCTTTCACTCTGCATGGTAGAGTCTTAACTTGCATTTGTAGATGCAGCAACAAACTGTGTTTACAGACTATGGTTTACCAAAGTGTTTCTTAGCCCATGTAGTAATATCCTTTATACAGTCATGTTGGGTTTTAACGCAGTGCTGGCTAAAGGGGTCAAAGGTCACTAAGCTAATATTTTCTGTTACTCTCAAACAGTCTTGTGTGTCTACTTTTTCACTCATCTTTACGGCTTCACTCTATCACATTGGTCAATACTGACAGACTGTTGCCCAGGTCCGCCAGTTTTCTTACATCTTCCTGGATACTTTGTGAGCGAGGCACAATCACTGTTTAGAGACCACCTTGCTGTCAGGTACAGTTCAGTAACATAGAAGTCCAGGAGACACTGTCATCAGAACCTGCAAGAGACTAACCGAGTTTCCATATAAGATAAGCAGAGAAAAATAATTTCTTAAACTTAACCGCTAACTTTAACCACCGCTAAGGTTCCATCGGATCTGCATATGTGTCCTAAATCAACCAAAATATAAATCTGGCAACCCCAATTCAAAGCCTGTAGGGTGAAGTATCATGTCTTTGAAGCTTTATTTAAAAGGGGGATGAATTGTGTCAAGATTTCCATCAGAGAAGGATGATATCTCCTGACATTGCTCCTTAAATCAACCCCTGACCACCATTACATTGCAGTGTTTGTCATTTTATTTAGACAGTCTAAGATTTTAAAGTGCATTGACGAGTTTTTGCAAAAACAAAAACCTCTGTTTTACTTTGTTTTTTTATCTTGTGCAATCAAGGGAATGCAGCCAAACTGATATTGGTTCATTTATTTTAAATGAACTAATTTGCAGTGAGTTAGGAGAAAATATAAAAATGCTGGGTTCAGACTATATAGCGTCTGCCCAGAAAAACAATTAAAAGTTAACAATAAAAAGAAAATGAAAGAAAAAAAAGGTAGTTGGTGATGTAGGGTAAGGATGTTGTTTTCCATCTTGGTCAGGAGCTGAATCAGTTACACCTGCTGTATGAGGTACAAGAAGGTTACACGATCAGCCACCAGCAGCCCAGACCAGTCAAATAGAGACTCCCCCCAAAATCGTGACAATAGGAAGCCTTTTCCAGCTGCAGTATACCAAATTCCTTTAAGTAAAAACTGACACCGACACACATCCCAGCGAGTCTGTCCGCCATGACACCTCTCCTCCACCACACTGGTCAGACCACTCAGAGCAACATAACATCTATTGGGCATCCTCTGATGTCACCCATGAAGGAGACAACACTTTCATATCAGTACCCTCTTGTCTCGCAATGTCTGTCCTCCCTCTATGAAGGCCCAGACAGCCTGATAGATCATCCTCGGAAATGCATTGCAACATTATTAATCAGCATGTCACTACTATTATCTGCTCTGCAAATCAACACATTAAGGTGGAAAATGCAAGAATCAACCTCTGTTGAAAAGATTACAGAAGGTAAAGATGCTTCTTTAACTCTAATCTGCATCAGCAAGTGAGGAGACTTTGCACATTGTGTCTGTGTGCTCATTCCTTTGCTATGGTTGAGGAAGAGGCCAGCAGAAAGGCTTCATTGCCCTCTTGTGGCGAAAACATACATCACTGATCCAGCTCTATCGGACAACCTCTCAGGAGGCCTTCTATGAGTCTCTGCAGGAGTGCTGTATGTGAGGATGTCGATCATATGGGCCACATGACAAAGTAAAGAAGAGAAGAAGTGTGTGCAGCTGGAAGGACTAGGGAGAAGAGTCTATTCATAATACTGTGCTGTACCTGATCAGTTGGAGTTTGATGGCTCGTTTCAGAGTTGGAGCAGGCTTGATGGGGTCAAGATTCACCCTTGACAGCTCAGCAGGGGGTGGAGACTGAGAGAGAAGCGACAGTAAGACAAGTACACAGTGGGATTGTTAATTTATCTTGAACAAACTGTTTCATAGTGTATGTCAACTTAACAGAACATGTACAGAGATAGTTTTGCTCACCAGGTCAATTTTGGCTTTTACATTCGGTGTCTCGGGCTCAGGAGTGTGCGGTCTCTTGGTGCCTCTTGATATGTCACCTTGAGATGGACTCTGACTGAGTGAGTCACCTGGTGCGACACCTGCAGAGGACTGAGAACAGGTGCCTTTGGCTGGGTCTTCATCAGCTTTTAACTTCTTAGACGAAGTTTCTGTCTGAGGAGAACACAGTCTCTTTTTGGCCTGTGGAGTCGTGGCTGGTGAGGCAGGTTTGCTGGGCACCCATGGGTGAACAGCTGAGCCGTTAGCCACAGACACCAGTTCCTGTCGAAAATAAGAACTGTGTTTTTTGTTGTGTGACATTTTTTACATCTCACCACAAGTACTAGTCATATTAAAGGAATAGTTTTGGGAAATACATTTTTCTGCGAAGAATGAGGTGAGGAGATTCAAACTACTCATGTCTGTACAATAAATGTAAAGGTACAGAAACACGGAAACAGCTAGCCCAGCTGTCCAAAGGTAATCGTACAAAATGTTTAAGTGATACAAAAACAGAAGTGTAGAAATGTCTTGTTGGATTTTATGTGGGGGTTATGGGCCAGACTGTGCCTTGGTTGGGCACAGTAACTCCCTGGAGTCTTGACATCACAATAATGTTGCCAGGAAATGACTGCGCCTGACCAAGTAGTAAATATAAAAAAGTATCTCTTGTTTTAAGTGAGCTTTTGCAAAGTATTTACTTACTGGAGCTCAGTTTCCTCTATTCTGACACACTCCCACTGATCCACAGT